ATATATATATAAATATATAAATATATAAATATATAAATGTGTGTGTGTGTGTGTGTGTGTGTGTGTGTGTGTGTGTTTTTATCATATAAGATTGATTTATCTTTAACTTTTAGTTGATATGCTTCATACACTTTTTTTTCTTCAGTTTTCATTGTAATCATTTAACAATACAGCTCTCAGTACTTTTTCTTTTCTTTTCTGTCTATGACATTTTTTCAACATTCCCATACACCCATACTCTCACGCACAAAACGTATTTGCTGCACCTAGTATCTTCACAATTTTATTGCTGATTGTCAAACATTAGCACCTACACCAGACAACCGGTTACACCACACACAGGCTACACCACGCAACAATCTGCATCACACAACTGGCTGCACCACGCAAATATCTGCACCACGCAACAGGCTGCACCTCACAAACAGTTGTACCACACAACAGGCTACTGTCTAAACCACACTACAGACTGCACCGCACAACAGGCTGCACCACCCAAACAGCTACACCACACAATAGGCTGCACCACATAACAAGATACTGGTTACACTACACAACAGGCTGTACTACACAACTGGCTACATCCCACAGCTGGCTACATTACACAACAGGCTACACCACACAACTTTCTGCATCACAAAACTGTCTACACCACACAACAGGCTGCGCCACACAACTAGCCTCACCACAGAACTAGCCTGACAACACACCTCACCTAACTCACACAACTACCTACTTTCTATTTTTCAGTAAGTGGAGTCTGGTGTTTGTCCTGACATGACTTAACGAACTGTTTTCCCGTGTATCTTGTAAAAATATACCTCCCATATATACCTCATTTGTCAGTTTCTAGAAATGTGTTAAATATATCAGCAAAATTTAAATTTCTGCCAGAAATTTACTTATCCATTTGGCAGTGTTTTCTAATATATGACATTGTTTTTACTTTTCCCTGTGTGTTGTGTCTTCTAATACGTTTGAAGCAAATGTAGTTCTGGCTAAACCCAGTAGATCTTCATGTTTGGCAAAACACTGGCGGTGCCTATTTTCTTTAGGTTTGGATAATTACACGGCTCCGCATATTGACTGACACTTCCATTTATGTCTAATCCAGTGATACGTCCAACCCCAAGAACGCTGTCTGACACATAGGCGATGATTTTAATCGAACGCTGCGATACACACTCGCTTGTAGAATCGATTTCCGGCACCCACCCACTCCACTACACTGATTAGTTCATGGGATCCAGCACAGTAGAGAGGGCAGACGGATTCGGCGAAAATATGGATATTGCACGGAGTTGAGAGAAATGCTTGCAGCTAAATTCAGTGCCCGGATGTGAACATTCATGACACAAACTAATAACAGTGTACACAAGTTGTAGAGTTGCGCGCGCGATCACACACATACGCACACATACACACACACACACACACACACTCACACACACACACACACGGAGAGAGAGAGAGAGAGAGAGAGAGAGAGAGAGAAAGAGAGAGAGAGAGAGAGAGAGAATTGAGATTCTCAACTCAGATACTACATTTAAACACAGAATGGTGTGGTTAAAAAAAAGTAAGACAGTACATTCTTCATTTTGTGAACATCACATAATGTTGTTGAATCTTGAATTAAGAATCAGCATCACAGTATTCAGAACACACCCATGGGCGCTAGGTTCTTATCTTTAACAGCAAACCGATTTCAAGTTCTGATAGTACCAATAAATGTATGTTTATATATATATATGTATATGTCTCGCCTTTCCCTTGAGTGTTGAGCGTCGACCAAATCCTCTGGTACCCTCCTCCCCTCAGTCCCCTTCTCTCAACTGTATTGAGCCTCTGCACTATTCACTCGCTTACAAAGGACCCCCACACGAACCTGTACACCGAACACTTTAGCGATAGGGCATGCCATAGCATAGGCAGGATGCTCATTTAGAAATAAAAGCATTTCTGTAATATTTCTGTAATTATTTAGTGCAAATAACTTGTTATATATCAATAATGGAGTTAAAATATTTGTGATTGTTTCTTTAAGTAACACTTTATTAATGTTCTGTCTGCTTAAAAGGTTCTAAACCTTTTTCTATAACAGTATCAAATTTACATCATTCCATTTTAGAAATTTTCCATTTTAAAAAACTTTCATAGGATTGCTTGATCTGAGAACGCATGCCGGAAGGATGAAATGCAAGAGTGCGCCACCCAGTAAGTGTCGGCGCATAGCTACTACTATAGTTCTTAAGTCGTCAGGGAACGACAAATAGGGTGAACCCCATTCGCCCGGGGAGACCCATGACGTTTGTTACGGAGGCTCAACTTTGCGGATATCCGACAAAGTGCGCACAAAGAAGTAGTTTCCACCCGCTAGCGATAGGGTGTTGTGGTGCAGCCTGGAGGGTGAATTGTGTGATAAAATTAATGGTGAATTTAAGAGAAAGTACCGTTTAAAACGATGCCTCCATACAGGTCTGAGGTCGAAGAGCTTGTGAAGAGAATCAGCCCTTGGGCCCAACGGTGTAACGTACGTCGTGTATAAACGCATGTCGAAAGTCCTCCGAATGCTTCACCACTTGCTAAGATTAGCTTTGAGCCGAAAGCACACAGATACCCAGTGGCAGATAGCCAACGGAGTCTACATTCCCAAGGAGTGAGACGCCTCCAGTCTGTCCCAATTCAGATCTATCTCGCTGCTGAACGTTGAAGGCAAGATATTCTTCTCGGTTATGGCAAGCAGGCTCACACAGAATTTGATGGCGAACAAATACATCGATGCGACGGTTCAGAAGGTGGAATACTAGGCGTTCCCGGGTGCCTTGAACACACGATCATGATCTGGGAGAGTATTCAGAGAGCTAAGGCAGAGAGAACCCAACTGCACGTAAAATGGTTAGACCTCGCTAACTCCTATCGGGTGGTACCCCATAAGCTAATGTGGCAGGCCCTTCGCATGTTCCACGCACCGAAGCAGATCACCGAAATTAATGAACAATATTTCTCTAAGTTCGCCATAAGCTTCTCTACCACGACGTTTAATACGAGATGGACTGAAATCCAAGCTGGGATAGCAATGGGATGTACAATTTTGCCGATACTGTTCATGATAAAATTGACTCTCGTTCATTCGCTGAGAACAACTCTATCGATCATATAATGTTGTCGGTATGCGGAGTAATCTTGACCTTACAGTAGATAGGCAGATGAGGTTGTGTAGCGGCTAGACGCTCGCCTGCACATCCGAATTTTGTGTTTTCAAATCCTAACCAAGCCGAACTTTTATTTTTCTTTGAAAAATGTTTTGGCTCATGGGAGTAAAGGCAGCCGACGTGGTGTTGACCACATCAACCACTGAGTGACCACAGGTCTATCAAACATAAGTCAAGTCCTATAAGCCCCATACGTCTGAAGGCATTTTTCCTACTGTAACAGTCTTTCTCACATCCATCGTACACTCAGGACAATTCTATGTTTCCTTTGTCATGAATTTGGCTTACAGTACACCCTCCCCCAAATACCAAGTATTTCTAAGTTTCTTTAAGCTCAAAATCTGGACATGCCACTGCAAATATGTGTCTTGTAACACAGTTAAGTCATTACTTGTTTGAAGGAAGTGGGTTATTACGCAGAGTTATGGTGAACTGAAAATCAACAAGTTTTGGCAGCCTTGACATTCCCTTTTCCAGAATCTTCTTTTCTCGCCAAAACAAGCTATTGACATCAAACTGATGTTGTCTGGCCTTGGCCTTCTTTCTAGAAGTTTTGAAATGCATTCTTTTCATCATGTGACCCAACCTTGTCGTACTAGTGAATACCTTGTTGACGTGCCCTATCAAAGCAAACACAATTGTCCTTGTTTTTCTAGAAGCTTCTATGACCTCAATTGTCAGTTTAACTACTATATCTGCGTAGAATAGGATGATGAAATCTGATGCAATCGAGATATAATTAGCAAATCCCATGTGAGAACGTACATAGTAAACAAGTTTAGACGTACTAGTATATTCTAGAAGCGGACAAAGCGAAACGAAAACAAATACCTAGCATTCCAGCATCCAAGTATAAATAGCGAGCAACAAAGCACTTTAAAAAAGATTCTTCAGTCCACAAGACTCGAGAGAGAGGAGAGACCAGTCACATGGGCTCTCAATGCAGCCTTCAGTAGTAGAGATGTAAGCCCAATACTAGAAGCCTTCAGTCGTTGAGACTCAGAGGACGAGCGTCTAGTCTCAATGATCCTTGATGCCAGCTCAACACTGGAAGCAGAGCAGCCGTTCATTTGGAACCTTAAAGACAGTCACTGGAGAGCAGACATGAAACGAGACATCGAGCTACAGAGACGACACACAAGATACATGGATCCATGGTTAACAGAGACATATTAGGTAGGAACTATAGAGATGTTAGAGTCGACGATCAATCCGTTAGCACCAGACAGCACTATTTAGAATGTCATTGCTGTTATTTTGTGACATTGCTGATGTATCATAATAAAGACACTACAGACGAGAACAGTTGTTTCCAAACATTTTGTATGCAAGCATGTAGCAAGCAGGACATCATCATCATCGCCACTATCGACACGACCATCTTTCTCCTCGTCTATAATCTTCCAATCGACTCCTCCTGTAGCAAACCTAAAGACGAACCTGGGTGTGACAACGACATATGCACCGAAGAAGAGAGCTGTGCTACAGTCTTTCTGAAGTAACACTGGCTATCGGCAAGTAGAGGGATTAAAATAAGTTGAAATAATCAGTTACTTTGCAAGATGCTTTAACAAAACGATTGAGCAATTAATCAGACAATTATTAGAACAATGATGTTAAACAGGATACACATGGCTGCATCATTAGGTCATATGATTTTGTTTCTAGAATACATGTCACACATAAAACAAACAGTAGAAATCGCTATCTTGCACTTTATAATTAAACAGCGTGTTTGGTTTCATCTTCTGAACAACAGGAAAGCTAGTCACTCGAGTGTCTCCAGCCATGCAAAACGGTTACATCAAAGGAATCACTACACAGACCGGAGTTGCTGGCATTCAAGCCCAGCTGAGTCCGCCAAACCGGTTACCTCGCATGTCTGAGTACCAGTTGAAGTTGTTAGAAAAGAACTTCCAAAGCAACCGTAACCCTTCAGATCTCGACATCACACTCATCGCAGCGGAAGTAGGTTTGTCAGAAACAGAGGTCAAGGTGAGAGAGCTAGAAGTGCATTCGTTTCATTCTTAGTCTAGACTACGTCACTTTAACTTGAATATATGACTCGTCAAAAGCAACAAACATCACATAATTGCGTACCATAGATACGAGTTTCTTTTAAAGATCATATCCTACTTAACTCTGGTTCGAAGAAAGTTGCAAGAACACACACATTATGGTAATCGACGAGGACAGGTAAATCGATGGCAGAGCAAATGTGTTTATGATTAAACTGCAATGCATTACGCTTCGGCAGACAAAAATAGATAAACATTTAGCAGTTCTACAAAGACACTGGTGAAAAGTTTAATAAATAAGGAATTATACTTTAAAAAACATTTTTTTATTGTTCAGACAAATGAAAGGAATAAGCTGAGGGGTAAAATGGAAGGGCAAATTGAATGATGCAAAAAGGAAAGAAAATGGCAGAATTGCTGAAGGGGAGAAAAATTGTTGGGCAAGAACATAGATATTATCCTTACATTGTGTGATTATATGGGCTGGGGAACAGTTACTGCATTCGCATATTCGTATGTCACGTAATGACAACAATTACTATGTTTAATGCAGTTTCATAAATATCGCAGTCTGACAATACAACCCTGGAGCTGACACACAACACGCTGTAAATCCTTTATAGTATCAGGATACACGCGGTGATCTTCTTGATAACCTACATATGCTGGTTTTGTAAACCTGGATGCTAGGCCTGGGCATTGTCGTACTATGATACAGAGAGGCGTCTGCTTCAGGCGGCACTGTAAGAAAGCGGCACAAGCAGCGAAACCAAATACAGTTTAAACATTAAAAGGGGAGCATTTCGAAGACAGCACGGTCCTGATCTAGGCGGTCAGATCAGCCCAGTCTGTCTGCGGTTCAGTAAATGTCTTAGGAAGGTAAAGGAGCTGACGTGATGTTCACTAGGTCGACCACTTAGTGCTAATAGTTTATAAAACTATGGGTCTAGCACTATAAACATGATACCCCTCAGTTGCTGAAGACTTACTCTGTCATGGATGTTTCCTTGATTTAGTCATAGTGACAGCAACATTTTTTTTAAAGAGAAACGGGTACTTAGCTACAGTAAAATGATCAGTGGGACTGATGTCCTTGTTATATTGTTGACAGCTTCGGTGCTGTAGGGTTGGCGCGTATACGTGACCGTTCAGTCGTCGTGGGTTTGCATTTCGATCTAATCAGATATGTCGACCCAGCCCTAATTGGTGTCAGGAAATGTCCTGAGAAAGTAAAGACGTCTAGGTGATGCTGAGCGCGTCTCCCACCGACAGCCCATCGGTCTAGGAATGCGCCTCATGCAATCTCGGGAACATATTGGCTTGTTAAGGACGGTTAACAGTTCTCACAGTACGTCACTCCAGTCACAGCCCACCTGGAAGAAAACTCGGTTGCTCTCAGATCACCGGCCTCACGCGCTTGCCTGCCCAAGGTGTCAATTATGACTGGTGTTCATATTCGTGGTGTTTCAGCCCTGCCTGTCATACGCAGTAGCATGCCTTCCATTACTGTTATCGCCAAACTTTTGGAATGTTTTGATACGGCCAAAATATTTCAAGTTTCAGTGTGTATACTGTTATGAAGCCAAATTTCTTCCATGCTCTGATCTCTTTGTATGTCAATAATATGTTGGTTTTTTTTTTTTTTTTAAATTTTCTTTAGATTTTGCAGTCCATGTTGTTCTAAAAATGTTATAGTAGCATTACAGCTAAAAAATTTATGTTTTCTTCCCTGAATATGAGACAGTCCACAAGCTAAATTCGCATCCAACAAGGAAGACACGTTATGAAAATCAGACTTTGAATTGCTTTTTGTGTTTAGCCATAGGATGTTCTGTTTAATCTCTGCAATTCCTTTTTTGCATTATCCTGTTCAAATTCTATAGTAATAACTTTTTACAACTGTTTATAATTCCACCAGGATCTTCTTATTTTGCAATATTTTTATTCTCCCCATCCGAAGTTTTATTTTCTTGAAATTTAGACACAGTTTTGATCTTCACTGTGATATTGTACAGACATGCTTAAATGAATAGTCCATATACACCATATGAAATAATATAGCACAATCCGTTTTACACTCTGTACATGAAATAAAAGACAGATACCACCTCCCAGCATTCAGAATGCTGCAAGAAACCTACCACCGCATGCTCTCTTTAAAGCTCCAGAAGTCCAGATGAAATTGGTAGACGAAGAAACCAGTCCGACCCCATCACCCATATGAACTCATCGCTAAAGACCATTGATTCTTACCCAGAAGAATAGATACATGCTTATATTGATGGATTTGCATTCAAAGCTACCATTAAAGCAGGTTACGGAATCTACAACGCTTTTTCTGATGGACCCTTTGAAGAGCTTTTTGATGCATGCGGCGAATTCTGCTCAAATTATGAAGTCAAAATAGTTGCATTAAAGACAGCAGCATGCCACCTAAAGACTGTAATGGATGTTTACCCTTCAAAGGCCCAAAATATTGTCATCTTCACCAATTCAATGTCCGCTCTAAAAGCTCTGGAAGGCAGTAAACATTGCAGAACTGGCATAGCCAAGATAATTCTAGATGCTGATTAGCTTATTACCTCTTACAGCATGATGCAGTCCACTCCGACACACCAGGTAATGACAGAATTGACAGGCTGGAAAAGAAAGGAGCACCACAAGAACAACCACCTACAGCGACAACCCTACAGGCAGTAAAAACACTTATAAGAGCTATAAACAAAGAGACCTACCTGAACAGATGGGCCATGGGAGATACTGGAAGAGACGTCTATAGACATAATGCTAGCCCTGATTCTAACCAAAGCATCAACCATCTGACAAGGAGGAACCAGCCACCATCTTCAGACTCAAAACAAAACATATTCAACTCAGTGGAAATCTAAACAGAATACAGCCACAATAGATTCCAAATGGCCAGCTATGTAACTATCATTTCGAAACTGTTGACCCTCATCTCTTTAAGTGCCCAAAACTCAGCGAGACAAGAAGAATGCTACTCCCTCCGAGACCAGACAGATGAAACACCTTGTAGGAAGGAAAAGAACATTGCCCTCAGAGAAATGGGATGGTTAGAGGACTTTGGGGTGCAGTGAATCCACATGACTCGCCAGAATGGCAGACTTGGGAATTGAGATCGGCATAGCAAAAAACTAGACGCACATCAGACACACCAGAAGACTTGTTAAGCAACATAGAACTGGTACTATTAGCCATCGGACGTTGGGGTTCATACTGAGGGGCGGATCTGAGCACCTATGGACATGTCTGGAGTGCAATGAGGAAAACCCAACTAACTAACTAACTAGAACAGCTTATGAAAACATGTAAATTTTACTACATGGCATTGGGCCAAAGGGCGAAAGCTCATGCGCTGCTGGATCGATAACAATAACACCACCATATGAAAGGACGGAGTCGTCTAAAATTGCAAGTTCTAAAATGGATCACAGAGAGTATTAAGTGGACCAAAACTGCCACACGTTTGATGAATTTTTGATATTTCTAATCATGCTTTCTGAATATATATATATAGTTTTAAATAGGTGAAACTGTGACCGCCCCATCGATGTGAGATTTACGTCTGTTCACTGATACAGAAGAGCAGCGGATGGCCGAGTGGTGACACTAAAAACGTAAATTAATAAATTGTTTGTCAGTTCATCCTAAAATTGCATTTCTGTCCTCTCAACACAACAAAAGTATAAAACCAAAAAGCTATCAACAAAGAAAGGGAAATAACGTAGCTTATATCAATGGTCGTAAGCCCTACGACAGAGTTAAGTAATGTTAAGTAAATCATTTAAACTGATGCCATTGTGTAACCGTCTTCTGTTTTCAGCGCTGGTTTGAGCACCGTCTGGCGAGATGGCGACAGCAGCAAGGATTGCCAGCAAACAGTGGATCAGTCAACGATTGAACTTCAGCAACAACACACTGTCTGACCCTAGAACGCACTAATTCATCTTGCAATTCATTGCAGTACAGTACAGATTCACATGCGTAGACTAATTAACTGTGTGGCAGTTTTTAGGTCTCGCAATATTTTCTTGGTCCTCGTCTAAAAAAAAAATCTGAGATGTGATTTTACTGCTTGGAATGGAACATTCATCCCGTATAATTCCTTACATTATTTTCGCATCTGTTATGTCTAACCTCATTTTCCTCACTTGCCATAAATCATTTGTAGACAATGTGAACAAAGCGCGCCGTCAGCAGTCCGCAAATATACAAAATACTGCATTCTTACCTATCTTGAACAGCCAGGTGCAGCAGGGCAGTACTTGGTATCAAGGCTATGTGTGCCCTAAGTGTAAGCTCGTATGATGTTAGATCTCGTGGAATGACATCCACAGGCGCCCAGGTAGCTGAACGGGTCGCACGAGTGTCAAACTGTTAGGCAGCAAACAGGAGGTGACAAACTGCCAGCTAGTCCTATGTAATAATAAGTATTTCCTCATCAATAAATCTGTAAAATGTAGGGCGAATTAGGCATTTTGTTTCCACGAGTCATGAAACTGCTTCAGTCATAGGCAACAGACTAATTTATGCTGACATCTAACAGAAAGCCTTAGAGTATTTATCCTTTACATGGTGGGAATTATGACAGCCTCAGATACATGCACCATCTAGCCTAAGTCTGGACTATACTGCAATCCCATACATCTGTAGCCGCATGTTTATTGTTGGATTATGCAAGTGCAATATGATGTGATTATGTGTATTTATATAGGAGTGGTTCTGGCTCCACACTTTATATTATTTCCTTAGTACAAAAGAAAACTGGTCAAATTATTTTTATTCATTCATAGAAGTGTGTGTGTGTGTGTGTGTGTTTTGAAACTATGGCTCGTGGAATATAGGTGAAATCACTGCTGTATTTTCATGTGGGGAATGAAGATCGTTATTTATAAGTTTGAGAAAGGTTCATGTGACATTTGCCAGTGTAATGACCCATATTTTCCAGTGAATAACCACACTAATAATAGCCACCTTTGGCAAGGGTTGCTAAAATTAAATTACTCCCAAGTGATAAGTGACGGGATCAACGTCACATTGTCTGCTTTAAATATCAGTGACGTTTCCTGTTATTATGGGTTCATATTTAGGTCCTGGTAAATAAAAAAAAAAAAAAATCAGCTGATGCAGATTCGAATCCAAGACCTTTAGACTGGCAGGTAAGCGTCTAGTCACAGCGCTACCCTAGGTGTATCTGCTATGTAGATTGGACACTAATTTTTTGACGCCTCAGAATAGACAGGCAAGCATATTTACTCTGCTACAGATGCATGAAAACTACACAGTCCGTATATAATGTACTGTTACATTCGGGAGAATTTTAACATAAAAGTTTATGTCGCAAAAAGTTTAGAATCTGACCCCAAGTTGAAAATTATCCGTAAGAAAAAAATCACGAATGCTTTAATGCTAAAGATGATAAATATACAGCGTGCCCAGTCAATGGGAAACCCAGATTTATTCAATTAACCCTGACCAAGTGGGAAATGTAAGAGAACTGCTTCTGCAATGGCCAGATATCAGAAGAAGAACCTGTCACACGTCATCATAAATTGTTCTGAACTGACAGAGTGACGTGTAAACTATTCTTGTTTTGTTTGGTAAATTTAGTATACGCACACAAGTGGACTGATGTATAACTAGCCAGACCCTAGACAATAGTTACTTTTTGTCAGCCTGGTATTGTGTTACATCGACTTGGCTGGGATTATTTTAGCTTACCTTACAGTATCGCCTGGCTCTCTGTTTAACAGTTTACTCGCATAGTACCAAGGGCTGACTGACTGACTTTCTACCCCACCAGGACATCACACAAGCGATAAACACCTGATGACACAAAGTGCCACCATGTGGATGAGGATCACCGTGGAGAGGTCCCAGAAACCGCGTTCAGACAATAGGCTATATTAATGGCCTACCTAAATTGCGGCCCCCGGCAAAAGCCAGGGCGGGGCTTCAAATAACAAAAAATTGCATCCTAAAAAGGACGTAAGGATTAATAATCTGTGTTGGTATAGTACCAAGGGACTCAACCTGCGCATATCTGGGCTCCCTCACATGATGTGCTTGTTCATGTTTAGAGACCGTTAGACTTCATTACATGAACTAGCATTGCGTTTTCCGTCTTTTCATAGTAGTTACAGGTGGCTCATACCTACTAATGTGCTGGCTCGTCATTTGGTGAGCCTCGTCATCTTTGACATGGTCTCAGTTTGATATGCCAAGACATTTTGGGAAAGACAACATTTCCAGTGTTCGTATTGTCTTTGGAGTTCAAGTATTCTCCGTGTTAGTTCCTGGCCCTATTCTAGGGAAAATAGGAATAGACCCAACACCTGCCCGACAGCATGCCTTATGATTATAAACTTCCTTCGAAGTCAGAGGACATCTGCATGTTAAACAAGGAACCCAAAGTATGCATACAAATGAGTCAGATCTATAAAACAGATGCATACACTGCACGGAGTTTATAGCGAAGTAAAAGAAACTGTTAAAGCCCGTGTCACAGACATATGTAAACGTACTAATTACTACTGTTCTGAGAACTCGTGACTAACTGGTATTTTGACTTGAGATTATGTAGGATCTTTATAATTGTTGCTGTTTTGTAAAGAGTAAAAATCGACGTTGTCTGCGCTTTCCTTGCTATGACATATTTAAAAATAAAACATATCTTTTCTATTTGAAATGATTAATTCACTCAGATAGGTTACATTTAACGTATATTCGTGTAGTTATGTCAATTGGTTTTTTAATTTTTGTCGTATCCGTATCATATTGTGTAGATGTTTCTTCAGGTAGGTTTACGAGTTCAACTATCTCTTGTTCTTCCCAGACCAACTCGGCATCTTCAAACCTCAGGTTTGTTAGGATCTGACTTCCTTTACTAGCTGTCCATTCATGTTTCTCTACGGTAATGTCTGTACCAACGTTTTATGCCTTTGTTATCTCCATCTATATTAACTCATTCTATCAAAATTGTTAACTCAGTTTTTTTTTTCTTTCTTTGTTTTTTCCTTCAGCTTTATGGTGGTATTATTTTAATAATTTTAGAACCAAACAGTCCGTATTTAAGTCAGGCAGTTCATCCGTATCATTGATATTGTCCAAGAGACTGAAATAGTTAAATATAAAGTTTCTTTTTCCGTTCATTTTAGTTTCCTAGAAGATTACTGATTTGTTTACTAATTTTGCGACAGTCAGATAGGTTCATTCTAACACTAGACGAATTCTACAACTGACTATTGAGTTTATCTTTGACTCTGTCTCACTTACTATTAACTACGTGAAAGCATAATATTTTAACCCATATCTATATGACATCTTACCTATTTTTTTTTTGTAACTGTGTGAAGGCATATCTGTTTTACTCCTACTCCTGGGTAGGCCAGACTACATATTCTACCCCTACCCCATGCACATCTGTTTAATACATTCCAGTCTGACACTGACTTTTATACTATTTAGAACTGTTTATTCTAGGTCTACCTCTGCCTGTTTAGGCTAAAGGTCATACAAGATTACACACACATATACACAAGCACACACACAACAGAGAGAGAGAGAGAGAGAAAGAGAGAGGGAGAGAGAGAGAGAGAGAGAGAGAGAGAGTGGAGAGAAAGGGAAGGGAGAAAAAGAAAGAAGATGGAGACGTGAAAAGCAAGAGAGAAGAGTATAGGGATTTCAATGTGTAATCAAACGACATAGGAAGAAAACGGTTTTGATGGTCGAACTGATGTCTGAGATTTATGCCAATCCATTGACTTTTATATGAGGCACCGGTAAATGAATGTCAGTGTACATATTGTTATCATTACCGCAGTATAAAACTAAATTGGTAATGTTTCTTTTTCAGGGAAAATGGAATCTACTTTGTTTGGTAATATTCTATGATAAATGTTGTTTTATGTGTGATTATGATTGGAAAAAGGGGGGAGGGATGTCAGGGGAGTAGGGCGGGGGGGGGGGGGTATGACAGGGGTGGATGAAAAGGATGGTTAGAAAGAGTTTAAGCCAGATGTGTCTAATATTGGTCTAATTGTGTCAAGCCCTAGGCTGATTGTGCTCAGGATTGTCTATTATATCTTCTATAGAATCTATCCACCATGTGAGAGTTTTCATGTTTCCATATGCTCATACGTCAATATATAAATTGCATTCATATATTTAGGATTAATAAACATACAGTGACTATTTAGATTGTTGCGTCTTTTAGTTCAGCTAACAGCTGTCTCAGACATTCCAGATGTAAACAATCAGCTGTGTTTGTAATCCACGTACGTTTGTGGTGTTAGTCTATTCATGATGTTGTGCTTCTATCAACAAGACATTCATTTATACAAGATAATATAAGAAGCTACACATTGTATCTACCTTCTTTTATTCATCAATAAAAAAGAGATGAAAAAAGCTGGTCTGGTCAAAACTATGTCTGTGAAGTTAGACATATGTTGTGTGTCCTGTCGGCAAGCTTCCTGTTTGTTGCACAAGCTCTGCTGCAGGGCTACCATGACGTCTTCAGAGCAACATTCAGTAGGGCTCTGATGAGCCGGTTGTTTCCCTCGGCTTCGGTGGGTAGGTTGACTCCGTCGGCTTCGGTGGGTAGGTTGACTCCGTTGGCTTGGGTGAGTAAGTTGATTCCGTCGCTTTGGGTGGGTAGGTTGACTCCGTCGGTCCTGTCGTAGTTGTGTTTCGCGCTGCGGATTACAAGACAAAATTCCAGTCTGTGTCTGTTTGTCTATCACAAGATCAACATTTTGTGATTTTTGCAATTTCTGAACAGTGCAATGTTCCTAATAATAATCACATATAAAACTACGCCAATCGCCGGTATAGGTTAACGCCGCTAGTAGCTTCCTCCACGTATTCGCTAGATTTTTCATCTTTATCTTTATTTCTCTTCTTCGCTTGATTTAAACCCCTCCTTGTATATTTTGTTCTGGGTGCCGATACAGCTCTGTGACTACAATATTTACTCGACGATCATCATTAGGTGCCTTGCCGGCTGACGTCTCAAATATCTGCGATCTGCAACTGCATGTATCAGTTCGTGTGTTGACACCCCTCTATGCCATGACAAAAGATTGTCAAGAATCTTTTCAAGCTGTCTTTCTCTGTCTCATTTTCCACAGATCTTTCTAGTGGTCACAACATGTTCCAGCTTCTCATAACATGACCCTAAAAGTTAGTACTGTCCCTTTCTGACGTTTGTGATAAGTTATCGTTTAGCATTTACCTCTTTAAAAACACATGGGTTGCTCTTCCACGCAGTCCAAGGAATTCTAAGGATTATTTTGTAAAACCACAGATCCGTGGCCTCAAGATATTGTTCGGCTTGTTTAATAATGGTCCAGGCTTCACAGCCGTGTGTGAAAACTGGCTCTATATAACATGCGAGAATTCTTTTCCTAATCTCTCATGACATGTCTTATTCTGTTCTTTATCTCTGTGATACATCTTCAGTCGGATGTTATCCATGTGCCTATATACTTAAATGTATGCACTTGTCCTAAAATAACCTCTTTGACTTTTATGATACATTTTGGCACTATTCTTCTCTTGGAAATCACCATTACTTCTGTCTTTCCATTAATCAAACTGAGGCCCATTTTATCACTTTCTACCACCACTGCATCTATCAATTCCTGTAGTTCTTTCTTACTTGTCGCTATCACGACGATGTCATCAGCTTAACGTAGGTTGTTTATGTTATGACCACCAACCACAATTCCTGGCATATCCATGACAGATCTCATTATATATTCACTGTATAATGCAAACAAATCAGGTGATAGTACGCATCCTTTTCTTACTACCTTTTTTATGCTCTGAAATGTTCCAACTGGTTATTAATTCCTATAGCTGCTGTTTTCTGCCAATACACGTTTTTTAAGATTATTAAATCTCTTTCATCACTGTTTAACTTTTCCAATAGTTTGATTATTTATTCATGTTTAACACAATCAACTGCTTTCCTATAGCTAATGAAACATAATTACAGATTTTTTTTTTTTACCTCTATAGCTCTTTCTGAAAGAGGATGTATATGGCATTGTTTGAATCTTTTCCTTCCACAGATCCACATTGTTTTTCACAAAGTCTTTGTTTAATCTTGTTTCGAATTCTTCTCACAATTATTCTCATTAACGTTTTTGTCACATGACTCATAAGACTGGTAAGAAAATCTTCACATTTTACAGTGCCTGGTGTCTTTGGCAGAGCAATAAATACAGATGTTAATAGGTCATTAGGAATCCAGCCACTACTATAAATGTCATTTATTAATTTGTGTTATTATTTTAATTTAAATATATCACAAAGCTGCAATTTATTCCAAAGTCATGCTGTCTGACCCAGGTGACTTTCCTTTCTTCATGTTACGCAATGCACCCTTAACTTCTGAATGCAGTATTGGTGGGCTTTCACTGTTGTCCTGCAAATATACTTCTGGTCTATTATCATCATACGGTTGCCCCCCCCCCCCTCCCTCCCCCACCAACCCACCAAGTACTCTTTAAATATTTTAATTATATAATTTTGCCCCCTTAAAATTAGACTTTTTTCTCCGATTTTAAACACTCACTTCTGTTACCTCTCTTCTTCCATGTGAGTCTTTCCTGCGATTTTTTCCCAATCTCTGTGCACATTTAATTTAGCCAGGTTTGTTTAGCCTCTTTGCATTTGTTCAATATCTCTTTATGTATACTATGATATTCCTCTTTATCATTCTTTATCTTTCTTCTATGATATATCGTCTGCAAAACTGCATTTGTTGCTTGGCGATACAGTATCCAAATGTTTGCGTCACTGTAGAGCAACAGTTTTTCGAAAATCGGTGTAGGTAGGTAGGTAAGTTGTAAATCATCAGAACATTACACACGCGTTAAACACCTGGTGACATAAAGTGCAACCATGCGGATGAGGATCACCCGCGGAGAGCTCCAGGAAACCCGTTCAGCCGTTAGGCCATATTTATTTTCCAGCTATATTTAGGACCCCGGGCACAAGCCGAGGTAGGGCTTCTAAAAAACAAAAAATTGTATCCCACATAGGGACGAATTGTAAAAAATCGGTGTGCACTTTATAATTGCGTCTTCATACTCTCAATGACAAGTCATTTGCTACTTTATATCTACGCTGAATGGCACCGAAATAATATGAAAATGTAGACTAATTGATCAGCTGATTAGGAAATACACAGCCCTGAAAAGTATTTCAGTAAGGATTAAAAAAAAAAAAAAAAATACCTGGTGCCTTTATCAGAAAACGATGGAAGTCTTTAAAGGATTAAAGGATTCAGTAAAGGGTGTACATCCCCAGATTGTTTTCACCAGAGCTATAACAATACTTAACGCTTTCTACGTGATAGACAATACCGTCTTCATATATGATATCTATGAACGTACTTGAACATATTTTCTCCAGCTAGGTTTTTAAATGACAAAAAATATGAAAAGATGATTCCAAATGTCACATCACCGTTAGTATTCATGATAGCAAATCTGTTACCATACAAAGTCTTTTCATTGTGCTCGTTACCTGGATCCTTACGAGTTCCACGAAACATTCCAATGTAATCTATCACAAACATAAGTCGTTAGACTCGACTGTGGAGTTTCTGGCGATATGTTTGTAGAAGACCATAGTTGCAACATTAAAGCAGTCATAAACAGATAAACAGCATCCTAACCGATGTGAGATTTATGCCAGAAGTGTGACACGATGTAGAGCTAGCTAAAAACATGACAGTGATTGCCTTCCTTTACAAAATGTAAAAATTAAAAACCCTAATATATATATATATATATATATAAACTGAAACTTGCAATGAAAATTAGAAAAGAGCTAAAATATTACAAGAACAACATTGTGTCATCGAATGAAGTATGTAAAACGATGAGAAAAGTCACATATAGGAAAATGTCCCTCACAAAAAAGAAGTGGCTCGACTGTTTTCTAACAGAGAAATGACTAATCGATTGGAAGCTGAGCGCTAGAGGAAACAGCAACATATTGCAGCACCAATAGAAAGTTACCATAAGAATGATCTGGGTGTTACCCTCAAGTTAAATTTGCGATACTTACAACGGATTAAGAAATAAGGGAACAGTGCCATGTAACTATACAAAACTGGTATAATACAATGGAAATTATACAGACTATTGATGACCAGTGGAATATGTTGCGTGAATCTAATCAGCAGACAATAAAAGAGACAATGCCACCAACCCATGGAGTAGGAAAAAAAATATGTATATATATCAACCGAAATTCTGCAGTTGATGGATGAAAGAAGGAAGTAAAAGAATGATGAAGAAGAATACTCTAGAATACAAAATGAAATAGTAAATAAATGCAAAGTGGCTAAAGAAGCCTGGCTGAATCAAATGTGTAAAGAGGTTGGGGTAAATCACGCGAAAGACTCACATTCCATGTACCAACGGATAAATATGTTAACAGGGAAGATGACATGTAACAGCACTGGATGTTTAAAATCGAAAGATGGCGACATTTTAATGGGACATAATAATATAATTAACAAATGGACAGAGTATATAGGAGAAGTGTATGATGATAATAGACCAAAGGTAGAATTGCTGGCCAACAATGAAGGTCCAACAATCCCTGCCAGATTAAATCTTACTGGGAAAAATCGAAGCACTTGGAGATTTTTGAATTGAAATAAAACCGAAATGATTTAATAATATTTATAATAGTGGGAACATAACAAATGACCTTTTAAAATTCATATTTATAGCTCTGCCAAAGAAACCATGCACTTTAAAATGTGAAGACCAAGTCACAATAAGTCCTATAAGTCACATGAATAAGATGTTACTGAGAATAACTATAAGGAGAATAAGAAACTCAATTAAACCAGAAATACACGATAAACAATTTGGATTTCTAGAAGAAAAAGGTACAGACAATGCCATTTACGTCCTAAGACATTATCAGAATGAGCTATAGAAGAAAATACTGATTTGTATTTATGCTTCATAGACTATACAAAAGCATTTGATAATGTGAAACATGAAGAAATAATAAAACTATAGGAAAAATTAAATATTGATGGAAAAGATCTAGGAATAATAAAGAATATGTATTGGCAGCAAACAGTAGCTATAAGAACTGTTTATGTACATTTAAGTGCATAAAGATGGGAGTTCGACAAGGATGTGTACTGTCACCTGATTTATGTTCAATATACAGTGAATATATAAAGAGATCTTTAATTGATATGACCGGAATTCTGGTTGGTGGACATAATATAAACAGTGTACGTTATGCTGATGACAGTCTAAATAGCAACAATTCAGAAATATAATGTTGTGAATTCCCATGGAAATCCCAGAAAGTTCCCGATTGGGGGGGGGGGGGGGGGGGGGGGGGGGGGGGGGGGGGGGGGGGGGGTGGGGGGGGGGGGGGGGGGGGGGTGGGGGGGGACAAGGTCAGAGGACCATTGAAACAAAAGAAAAGCGATATAAGCAGGTCTCGAGTATCCGTGTTTGGTGAATAGAGGGGTCGGGGAAAGCGTGAGACTTGAACGGAAGATGTGAACCCAGAGAGGATACGAAATCAATTGAAGTTTGGACCTGGATGTGTGCAGTCGAATGCGAGAGAACAGCAGAGAAGAATGCAGATCGTCTGACCACGTGTATTTGCTCGAGAGCAGAAATGAATGCCTACTGACTGCAAGTTTCGATTGTGTACAGGTACAAGGTACAATATGTTAGCATGATCCAGATGTATGATCCGAAAGATAATGGCAGAGAGAATCATCGTGTAAGATAGTTGGTAATGTCATCAGAGATCAGCCATGCGTAGCAACCACGGGAACACAAGTGAGTACATGGACAGTGCGGTTGTGGGATCAGCGAATAAAGACCAATAACTAAGTGTTCGTTGTCTGGTGTATTCTTGGTAACTGTGTGTACCTAAGAACGTCAATATAGCAATGTGCCGAGTTAATCAAACCCCTAGCAGAGCCACATTGCAAGAAAGAACTGCAGGAAATGATAGTAATTGTTGTTGTAGAAAGTGGAAGAATAGGCCTCAGTTTGAATAATCGAAAGACATAAGTAATGGTGGTATCAAAGAAAATAATTATTTCAGAATGTGTAATAAAATTCAATGGTGTTTTTTTTTTTTTTTTTAGGATAAGTGCAGAAGTTTAAGTATCTGGCCACATTGATAACACCAGATGGAAGATCTATTCACCGAGATAGAAAACAGAATAGGACAGGCAAAAAATTCATTGTATAAAAATGAAGAACATATTATGCAATATGTTTCTGTCATTGAAGGTTGGAAAAATAATTATTGCTTGCTACATACATCTAGTTTTAATATATGGCTGTGAGTCCTGGACAATCGGTAGGCAATCCAAACAATTTCTTGAGCCCCAAAGATGTGGTTTTACAGAAGAATGCCTAAAATACTCTGGACAGCCAAAAAGAGCAACCAAGAGGTTTTGAAAAAGGCAGGAGCCCGAAGACAACTTATCACAGACATCAGAAGGAGACAGTCATCATTGTTCAACCAAGAGTGTGCACTAAGAGCGTGGACCAAGAATCACGCTGGAAAGAAAGTAAATAAAATCTTTAATTGCCAACTGTAAAAAGCATGAGAGTGAATTTGTAATTGTGTGCCTTTCATTGATGTTGTCAATGATGTGATTATAAACGCGTCTGTAGAAGGACAGTGGACGACTCTAGACACTGACTGGACAAAACAAAAAAGGTGTACAATTATGAAGACAAACAAATGATAAGAAGGGGGAGGGGGGTCAACAGTAATCTCATCTGATGATGCCTACCCCTTCTCCTCCTTCTTATAGACCATCTTCCACGCCGTCTGGCGTTGGTAGGCATATTATCTACAACCTCCTTTCTCGTGTAATTTCAATGACGCAGATGGTATTCTATGCCCTGATGTGATTTCTACATAATCTGCATGCTTCTGGATGCCATAAGAGTCACATAAATTGCATATGCGTTTAGTACACAATCAAACCTAATGTGTTGCATAACCGCTTGGTGCCGTGCTCAATCTCCACGTATTGTGTACTGCTCAAGGATATCTTATAACTGTGTGTTTGTTAGCCTTTGGTTGTGGAAGTACTTACCTCATCAACAGTTCACGGTTCCATGGCTCTGCATAACAGGGAAGAGCTCGATAAGCAATCAGCCGATCAAAGAAGAGAATGTAGTTTTACAATAATTCTGGCATATCAGGGAACAATTAACCAAACAGGTGGTGGCCCTTGGATACTAGTCGCTATTGGATTACTTTGGTAATAATATGCTTAACTTTGCTAAAAACTATGTTTTTGTCTTTAATATAATAGAATTGTTTTCAAACATATGTAAGCCAAGAATAGCATGTCTTTCATAATACAAAGGTCTTACAGAACAAAAGCAACATTATTTATACTTACGCAAGTTGAAGCAAACACAGTGTCTAACTTCAAAGAAGGTACCATAAGGACAGCTCACATTGCGTCCACCAAGATTGAATTTAGTTATATCATCCGGAACTGGTTTAATATGTTGTGGGCATTCTGAAAACCATAATTTGTCTGTGGTTGAAAAGCGTGGATGCTTGCTTACATACAGTAGATTTATTTGTGAAAATATTCCCTAATTGCTTCTAGAAGAAGAAACTTTTCATAGATCATTCGATCTATTCAAACTATACATTTATGTACCGTGAGTTAATTATGTTATCGTTACCAGAGTCCAGTGCATCAAATATGTCTTAGTCAGCGTCAGTGGCTTAGGCGTTGCTAACGTGATTCTGAATTCCAAGGTACCCGGTTCGATTCTAGCTGCAGGCTGTTGTCAGTAGACCACTTTGAGTTGACGTCGACAAGTGTATCGATGGTCCACTGTTTAATCAGCAACTGTAAACAACTAAAATAGCCTTGTAAAATCAGACAGACAACAATACCTGGGCCGGTTCTGCAACGTTCTGTAAAAAATATGCAACTGAACGTCCTCCTTTTATTTTTTAAAGTCTCAATCCACAAATGATGCGTTTTCTCTCCCCCCCCCTCCCCCACCCCCAAATCATCTTCTTCAGCAATCATAGCTCTCCATGTTCATCGATGCTGATAGCACCCGTTTCAGTTCATCTCTGTGATCTGTAATCTTTTTGTTTAGTTGGTGAGTTCAAATTATTATTACACACTAAAACAATAATAGGCCTCATGAAACCCCTCCCACTAAAAATGTGTAAACGTGTCAGAAACATTGCATTCCCCATCCCCCTTCCTGACGTCTCCGAGGCACCTCTCAGCGCCACTGCCCTGGATGATTGCCACGTCAAGCAAGCACACCAACAGCTACGCCAAGGCGACATTGAGTTTAACTAATCTTTTCTATGTGTCCGCCGTCTTTTAGCTGTATCAGCTTCCCAAAACAATTGATAAAGGTTAGTTGCTTATCCTTTACAGGACGTTGCAGAACCAACCCCAACATCCCCTGGCTGTTGTGTGGTTTCTCTAGGCAAATTTACGTCCAGTAGTTTGCCATTGCTGCTGGACGGTCGGTCCACTGAAACCACTGTCGAAACCAACGCAAGGCGCATGACCCGCAGCTGGGATCGAAAATTGATAAAGACTAACTTGAAATATGTGCTTTAGGCGCATCTTACCGCTATAGCAGTTGTTGTCTGGCACACAGTTCTGTTCCGCTTCATCGAATCTGTAGAAGGGGTCACATTCGCGATAGCGGGCCTCTCCGTTGACACACTCAAAGTAATCAAAACACACTTTGGGAACCCCGTACTTGGTTCCATCTGCAACTCTCTTGCATGGATCTGTGAGTTAACCCAAATATAATGTAATTAATAATCTTTGCTGACTTATTGCTTTCACATCGACTCAGCCTAAAATGCGTTGAACTAAAGGCAGCCCGTGAGATGTTGATCACATTATCCATCGATAGCTGATTGGTCCCTAAACTATTTATTCATTGTCCTGTCCTGCCATCATACGTCAAGTGGAGTTCGCAGTCTACTCCTCCATTCCCTTGTTTTATGTGCTGTCAGTTCGATTTTATAAAGAAATTCAGTTTACCAGCTTTTTCCTCGGTCATCAACTTTATTTTAGGGTTTCATTTTGGGCGTTCTCTACTCCATAATCCCTTTATTTCCAAATTCAGTGCCTGTTGGTGATTCTCGGCTGGCTTCTTGTGAGGATGTGTAAATTATGCGCCATCTTCTCTGTCATTTAACTGTTGAAACTAGTGGTTGCCCCGTCATTTCTCTTACTTCGTCACTCCTTTTGAGTTCATCCCGTAATTTTTGCATTATTTTCCTTAAGTATTTGTTTCGAATACATTTAACTTTCGTTCCATGTCTTGAGTGGTTCTGCAACTTTCACTGACATGTGCTAAAACTGAAATAACATTAGATTTCAGAATACGGAACTTGGTTTTGAAAACTATACTATTCAGAGTTCTATTTTTCTCTCTTTGCTCAAGCTAATGAAAGCTGCTGACCGCTTTGCCAATGCCGTTCCTAATTGTGTGTGTGTGTGTGTGTGTGTGTGTGTGTGTGTGTGTGGAACAAAAAGAAGATTGTTACTAAGGTTTAGTATTATTTTTTTTTTTTTTTTCGGTTTTGCGAAACCAGCAGTGATGTGCAATACCTTGTAGAGAACTGACTGGCAATTTACGAGGCCCTGTCAGACATGATTCATGGATATTTCATGGTATTGACTACAAGAAAGAGAACACACTTTGATTAATTTGCTCGTGAAGATTTTCTCCAGAAAATACTTCGGTGTTTAAAACAAAACAACAGTTTCACCCACAATAAACAGGGCGTAAAATAAGACGGGATGATATAGTGCCAAAAGTATCAACATATACAGATATCTGACAGATTGTTCCTCATTTCCTAGAACAGACAGTAACTATTTATATAGCAACAAAGCCAACAAATACCTCTTCTACTCACATAGAAGCCTTGCAATAACCCACGAAAATACATACACAGAGTCACTACAAAAGGCTTTTTGAAACTGTTATCAATACTTTAGTAATTACTTTTACACTGAAAATACTAGCTTTGAAATGTTTATTTATGAGAGCCAATCATGGTATTACCATGACTGTTATTCTTAAACAATAATATCAACTCTGAGGAACTAAGATTAACTAAGTCAGATGCTTTTTATCCTGCCACAACGTCCCTAATACTTTAGGCAAGTATTCAGTTCTTAACAGCAGCTGTCACTATTCTCTATTTTCAGAAAACAAATTGAAATAATACAGGTGAAAATATCTAAAAATTGAATTGAAAGGGGCAGAGGGGTTGGGGGTTTGAGAGAAAAAAATTAAACAAATAGTTAAGAAAGATCATCTGTGTCGGTACCTTCTAGGTATGCTTAAGTTGTCCCAACTAAGATTAACAGGCTGAAGCAATGAAATAAAATACTACATGAATGATACTTACAGAAACCTGGAGCTCGAGTTGTTGGTCCTGTTACAGTGATTGGTTCCTTGGATGTTGTTGGAGGTGGGTATTTTGTATAGACTGGAGTCTCATTAGTTGGCCCAGGCTTCTCTGTTGTTACTGGTTCCTCTGATGCTGTCTCAGGTGCGTAAGTTGTATAAACTGTAGTCTCATATGTTGTATCTGGCTTCCCTGTTGTTAATGGTTCCTCAGATGTTGTCTCAGGTGCGTATGTTGTATAAACTGCAGTCTCATATGTTGTCTCTGGTTCCCCTGTTGTTACTGGTTCCTCCGATGTTGTCTCAGGTGCGTATCTTGTGTAAACTGGAGTCTCGTCAGTTGGCCCTTGTTCCCCTGTTGTAACTGGTTCCTCAGATTTTATCTCAGGTGCGTATCTTGTATAAACTTGAGTCTCATACGTTGTCTCTGGCTTCCCTGTTGTTAATGGTTCCTCCGATGTTGTCTCAGGTGCGTATCTTGTGTAAACTGGAGTCTCGTCAGTTGGCCCTTGCTCCCCTGTTGTAACTGGTTCCTCAGATGTTGTCTCAGGTGCGTATCTTGTATAAACTTGAGTCTCATATGTTGTCTCTGGCCTCCCTGTTGTTAATGGTTCCTCAGATGTTGTCTCAGGTGCATATCTTGTGTAAACTGGAGTCTCGTTAGTTGGCCCTTGCTCCCCTGTTGTAACTGGTTCCTCAGATGTTGTCTCAGGTGCGTATCTTGTATAAACTGGAGTCTCATAAGTTGTTTCTGGCTCCCTTGTTGTTACTTGTTCCTCTGATGTTGTCTCAGGTGCGTATCTTGTGTAAACTGGAATCTCATTAGTTGTCTCTGGTCCCTCTGTTGTTACTTGTTCCTCCGATGTTGTCTCAGGTGCATATCTTGTATAAACTATAGTCTCATTAGTTGTCTCTAGCCCCCCTGTTGTTACTGGTTCCTCTGATGTTGTCTCAGGTGCGTATCTTGTATAAACTAGAGTCTCATTAGTTGTCTCTGGCTCCTTTGTTGTATCTGATTCCTCAGATGTTGTCACAGGAGCATATCTTGTAGAAACTGGAGTCTCATATTTTGGCCCGGAAGGTTCGGTGCTTGGTTCCTGTGTTGTGCTTGGGCACTAGTATAATGTTTTTATTCGATATACACTGCAACTGTAGACGAGGAAATACAATGATATAAATTGAAAATAGGCGCAATATCACCAAAATAGGGTACATTCTAAACTTGACAGATATTATACTGTCGTGGTGATGTGGAGTGTAATATTTACTTGCACTATAGGTTTATTGTAGAGAAAGATGCGCAGATATGTAAAAATATAAATTGCAGCTGACAAATGCAGCAGTTTCATTAGAGTAATAAATATGCGGGGGAAAAACAGGAAATAAATACAGTTCTGACCATTTAGCTCTAATGTCTGATTAGTAGGGTTGTATGGAGCCTGTCGGAGATCTGCTGTAACTGTTTTTACTGCCTCTTCTGCTACAGCCTTGAAGGCTGCTTTGGGTATAGGACAGCACTATGATAGTAGTGATTGTTTTATGTCTGCACGTGACTAAAGCATGACCCAGAGTTCACCGAGACGAACTGACAACAGTAGGAAGTCGTGACTGATTGAGTCGTTCTTTTGCGAGGCTACGAGTCTCGCAAGAACAGGGGCTGAACTGTATGACTGAAACGAAACGAGCGAACAGCTCAAGATCAGAAGAGTTTTTTCAGGATGTGCGATTGAAGAGATATGTGATAGTTTTGACAGTTAGATTTTACTGTGTTGTGTTTAGACCATAGTGACCGATAGACTGTGTTACAATGTGTTTCGTTAGACAATAGCAGTACTTCTGTATCATACCACGCTCGTCTTGTTCCGTGGGTAGCTGGTTAGCTATTACAGTTAGTCTTGTTGCTAGGATTGGTTAGTTGTTGTGATTTGATCTGTCCTCACTCACTTTGCCCGCAATCGGCAGATGCGTCGCGGAACTGTTGAGTAGTTCAGTTACGGAGAAAATATCTGTACGGAAGCTGGGTACTATCCATGGGAACGTGATAGGAGTGAAATGTGATTTGTAAAACCCTCACTACCTTTGTTCTGGATAGGGGTGCCCACGACTTCTAAGGCAAACTACCGTCTGTAATATTGTCCTGTACATTAACGATCGGTGTACTCCGTAGGTGTTTGCGTTTAGTGTGTTTAGGATAGTTTCTCTGTCACAGGCCTACAACACGCCCCATACGCTGTTACGGCAGACATAGGGTCTCTGACAACAGGTAAACAAGTACGTTTTACTGTGAATAATGCATTACACTTCCTCATAACACAGAGCCATCTGTATAGATAATCAAATCATCGGTTCGGAAATTGTTATGAATTATTTGTTGAAATTAACTTCCTCACCAAGATTGTTTAAGCATACAGATATGTCTACTTTTGTCTAAACGTCACGCCATTCAAGACCTTTTTATTTTCAGTCAGAAACTATTAGATCTGCTTAGAGCTCCATGCAGGATTTATTACCTGTCTGCACTATTCTGAGATATAACCTTGCTTGCAGCACTTAGAGTATATCTGTAATCATTAGTGTTGCAAACATATATTGCATACATTCTATTTGAAAATATCATCTGTATCCTAAAAGGACCCTCGTCACATCATTGTGGATGCGTTTAATTTTCATCACTTTGATACGCAGGGGCATTCAGAGTCCATAATATGTCACCGAGATGATTAAATGCGGATGAGGATCACCTGTGAAGAGGTCTCAGAAACAGCCGTTAGTCCATATCTTTGGCTAGGCCATATCTATGCCCCGGCTATATTCAGCGCCCCCTGCAGAAGCCAGGGTGGGGCTTCAAACAAATAATTGCATCCCACATGGGAACGACTTTTTGGATACGTGTATAGAGAAAGAATACAGAAAGCCAACAACATTAATTACCAAATAAAGCCACCGGTGAGACTTCAAAATATCAACATGCGCACACATAAAAAGCAGTAGAAAAGTACGCTATTCGCACCAGCCATGTGTTATCGATTGCTAGACATGGACATTTCTAGAAAAACATCAAGGCAAAAATTAGAACATATCAGATAAGATCTATAATAAATGCAGCAGAGAAAAAAGAAAAAAAAGAGACAGTGTTACCAGTGAAGAACTAGGAACAATTGTAGGCACAGTACGCGTCCACCATTTCATAGAACATCAACGAATCAAATGGTTTGGTCATCTGGTCAACAACAAAAAAAGAGAACAAAATCAGCCAGCAGTTGAAACGAACGAAATGAGAACAACGGGCTACAAGACAAGAAATTGAAACAGAAAGATATGAGCTGATGGAGTAAAAGAGACAACAGAAACACAATATAA